GCACACTTGCTGCCACGCTGCTCGGAACGCCGTACGTCGCTGGCGCCCTACCTGGCGCACAGCACCCGCCACTCGCGGACGTGCTGCACGACGCAGCCCCGCCTGCGCCCAGCCTTTTGGGCCTGTAGTTCGCAGTTTGCACGGGGACCTGGACCTTGCGGACATCAAAAAGGTGCGGGGGGAAAAAAAAATTGCCATCTTGCCTCAAGCCTGCGACTCGGATCTTCAGCTCCTTGACTTGTGGGATTGCAAGTCAGTATTGAGCAGATTTTGCCCTTTTGATCGTTTCCTTCGACGAAACCATTATTTCCTGGTTGGCAGTTCAATCAAGATCGCTCTCCCGGCTGTTTGGATTCACCCTGTCGCCTCCAATTCTGCTTTTGCTTAGTTGTGTGGTGGACCTCTGGGTTTTCCTTGCAGTCCGGCTGCCAGAGAACGTAGGGGAAGAGTCTGAAATATGCAATGCGCAGTGGAGCTCTTTCATTGCTCACTGCCTTGTTGCCAAAACACATTGACTTCTTCTCCCAGTTTGATGCCTGCTGAGTCTGGCAGCGGTAGGCTAGGTCCGATGTCTCCTGACTTGGACTGATTGCGTGCAAGAAAAAAAACCGGAGCGCAGCCGCTCCCCTTGCCTCTTTGCAGGGCGGCCCACACCCCGCCCCCCGGCTGCCCGGCGCCCACGCCCGGAGCGCCCGCCAGGCCAGCCCGCCCCGAGCCAGCCCCGCCGTACCCACCGCAGCCGTGGAGGTGGCGCTTCCCGGCAGGGCGCCCCGCGGAGCACCCACCCCTTCCCCAACCAGGACCGGGTTTTGGCGCGAGACTGCATCGCCCTTCGGAGGCTCTGCCGGGCCGTCCCCGTTCCGGTTGGCACAACCCCTGCCCGCAACCCTTCCGCCGTGGTTGCACAGGCGGGAGCCCCGCCGACCTCAGCCGCCGCCGGCGCCTCCGCGGCAGCCGCGGCGGCGGGAGTCGAGTGCCCGGCCTCAGCCTGTGTTGACGCTTTGGTCGGCGCGCACTACTGGTGCAGCCCCCGCTTCCTGAGGTGCCGGACGGGTCGCTGGCGCTGTCACGGCAGCCGCGGTCCCAGATTTTTGCCTGAGCCCTAGATTTTCGCCTGGGCCCCAGCTTGCTCCTGCATTGAGTGTGGTGCGCACACCCGTGCAGCGCCGACTTGCTCCAGAACTTCCAAGGCTTCGCCACCGGACCAGGGCCGCTGACAGTCCGCAGTGTCGAGTTCTTGCCTCGTGTGGGTTGTCGTGCGCACCCGTGCTGCCCTCCTTCGCGAGTGCCAACTCAGCTTGAGAGTCTAACAGCCTCAGGTACACACTTGGTCTCTCAGCTGGTGAGCACAGGCCTGAACTGCTGCAATAGGAGACGGCGCGCCCCCGCCCCGCCGAGGCTAGAAGGCGGCCGCTGGTGCCTTTCCGGGTGCCGCGGCGGCGGCACTTTGGTCTCAGCCCGAGTCCCGGCTTTCTCCAGCCTTGCGACCTGCCCGCCTCTGCAACGTTCCTGCGCCGAGGACGTCCCCAGTTTTGTTCGGTGAGCCACCGGTAGCATCGCAGGGGTGGTCAGCATTTTGTGCTGTCAGCTTGTAGTGTTCCAGCTTCCCGCGGCAGTTTCTTTTGCAGTCGCTGTGCGGAGTTAGCTTGCAGAAGTTGCAGAAGAAACAAAAAAAAACAAACGTGTGCACCCGGACTGTCAAGTCAACGCTCGCGGCACTCTCGCTTCACCCCCACTGGCTCTCACAACCAGATGTCACGCCTGCCGCGCAGTGCAACACCGGAACGCTCACGCCCGCCGCCCTCCTCCGACGCCCAGCGTGCGCCGCCACGGGCCGCCCTGGACGCCACAAGCACGCGGCAAGCACACCCGGGGAGTGTGGCCATCCAGCTTGAGGCAGAGGCCGGGACCGATGATGGCCAGCAGCGAGACGGTCGCGCATCACCTCTGTCGGTATCGTCTCGCTCGGTGCCATCGCCGCCCGCTTCCCCACGCGGAGATGATACGCCGATTGCGGCGCCGGAGGCATCCCAAGGTCACTGCTGCGTGTGCCTCGAGGCCTTGCGGCCGCCCGGTTGCGGCGAACATGCAGCCGTGGCTTTTCCGACGTGTGCCCGCCACCGCATGCACGTAGGCTGCCTCGCCCAGTTCCGCGTCCAAGCTTCCGGACCCTCTGAGCTGCTGTGCCCCTTGTGCCGACACAGCCGCTGCCCGGACTGCACGCCAGGTGGCTGAACTACCCGGCATGATGCAGAAGTCCGCGCGGCATGCGAGCGCGAAGGAGTCCCGATGCCGTCGAGGCTGAGACGGGTGAGGATACGGTGCGAGGTGCAGTCCGGGACTACACACTGCGCACCTTCACAACCAACGACGCGCCGGAGCCGCCGCCTCCACCGGGGATAAACGTTCTTTGTTGTCATCATGTCGCGGCCGTGAACGGGGCGAATGGAGTTGACTTCGTCAGGCTGCCACACCGTGCCATGCAATGGGCGCCTGTCCCCATCCGGCACGCCGCGGGCATAGCGGCGTGGCAACCAAGTTGGCTTTGCCCTGGCTGCGCGCAAGAAGTGAGATTTGCCGACCTGGACGTCCCGGCCGATGCGGGACAGCCTTGTAGCCGTTGCGGACGTGCCTTGCGATGGGAGTACGACCGCGCAACTGGGCAGGGACAGCTCAGCTGCATGCCGGGTTGCGCTGGATCGGCCCGTCCTGTGGCACCGCAGGAACCGCGCGGTACGCTCACAACGCCTAATCAGGCAGCAGCTGGCCTCCCAGCGAGCAGGGGAGCGTTCTGGCTCTCGCGGGGCCCGCCCATCGGTCACGTACAGGAGGCTACCAACTCCTGGTTGTATGTGCCGCTGCTGCATGCCGCCGCCGCCGACCTCACTTCCTCTGCTGTCGAGGCCTGGCGAGCCGACCCCCGAGCTGCTGACTGGTGGGACCCGGCCCGACGGCTGTTGGCCACGTCCAGCCCGGTCGCGCCCCACGTGCTAGCCGACGCGGTCAGGCATGCAACCGAGGCAGCACCGTCTCATGCCCATCACCTGGCGGACTTCCTTGGGCGCCTCGAGCGCGCCGGTCTGCCTAACAGCGCCCTCGTCCATGTTGGCTGGGCAGTCCGGCAATTGTGTGAGCAGGACGGATACCTGATAGCCACTGTGCAAGAAGCCCTGCTTCAGTGCTACGGCGGCGAGGCGTTCGCGCTAGCAGTCGACCGCCATTCCGACCGCTTTCGCCAACGGCCGCGCAGCCCGCCCAGTCGAGATGCGTCTCCGCCACCTGCCGCGCCTGCAGCGAGGCCAGATGCGCGAAACGGGTGTGATGCGGCTGCGCCTACACGCCACGGCTGCGAACGCAGGGATGCGAGTGCTGCGCCCGCCGGCACGCTT